GGCGTGTGATTGCCAAGAGATTAGCCGCTGCGACCGCGCCCCGCCCCGCCGCGCCTCGCCCCGCCGCGCTCGCCCCGCCCCGCCAGGCCGTCTCGCCTCTCGGCGCTTCGCGCTTCGATAAGGGAAGCGCACGCGCCGATCTGATAGCAACCCGTCTGTACGCAGCGCCTAGACCGGGCGGGCCTAAGGCGGTCTAAGGCGGCCGAAGGCGAGGGCAGGTTGCCTCGCTGCCGCTCGTTGCCGCTTGCTCCCGAGCCCAGCCTGTTCAGCCTGCGCGGCTCCGCCATGGCTGGGCCTAGGCCTAGGCTAATGGTGTGAGCCGTCCTGTCTCGGCGAGCGCGCGGAGAGAGCGAGAGAGCAAGCGCTTCCGATATTGGCGCTTCTATAGTCGATCCGGCGTGCTTGTTGGAGCGGCGGAGCGGCGGAGCGGCGGCATGGCGGACGAGGTGAGGCTTTCGGCCGGCGGCAAAGCAGGGCACACTCCGCACACTGATTCCGAGAGTCTGCCTCCGACTCCCTCGCACTCGGCGCGTCCCGTAAAAGTGCGGAAGAGACGGAGCGACGAAAAAGACTCTGGGAATCAGTTTGCTGGTCTGCTAGGGCAGGCCGATATGAATCACACGCCGGCCAAGTGACCATGGTGCAACAACTTGTGATTATTGTGAACAAACACACACGTCGTTGTCGTTGGCCGCCGCCCTTGCGTCCTGACGCAACGTCTCCGACCGTCCCCGTCGTCGCACCGCGCCCGCCATGCTCGTCTTCTTGTTCGTCTTCTTTATCGCTGAGGTGTGGAGTGAGGCGGCGGCCGAGGAAGCCCTGCTGCTCCTCCCGGCCCCTTCCCTTGCGGGCCTCGGCCACTCTCTCTTCCCCCCCTCTCTCTCCTCTCTCTCTCTCTCTCTCTCTCTCTCTCTCTCCCTCTCTCCCTCTCTCCCTCACACACACACCAATAACGTGAGTGCGAGAGAGGAGAGAGAGAGCTCCACGGCGCGCGCCTACCGGCCCGTCAGCCACCCGTGCGCGGCGCGCTGCCTACTGCCGCCTGGAGAGAACGCTGCGCTGCGCCGGCCGAGCATGCCAGCCAGAGATGAAGGAAGGGACCCGCTCCCGCTCCAGACCCGCCACCAATTCAAATTTTATTTTTCTGTTCCTTCGGACTATATCGCACACTGAAAATGGGCGACATCGTAAAGACCCCCGCGCTCCATGGCCCTGGTGCTGTAGAGAGGTCTCCTCCCGCACGCCGGAAGGTCGCTCGGCAGGCTGCAAGGCAACCCGACCTCGCCGCCTCGCCTCTGCCTCTGCCTGACGCGGCCTGACCTAACTTTTTCGGGAGGGTGGGTTGGTGTAAGCAACGCGAGGCAGCGGGGGGGGGGGGGGGGGCTGGTAAAGGGTTCTGGGCGTCAAGCGCGTTCCTTCCCCACCCTTCCGATAAATCTGCTGCATAGCAGCCCTAGTCCCTCTCCCCCCCCTTTTCCCTCCCGCAACAGGACGGGGAGCGCGGGGCGGGGCGGGGCGGGGCGGGGCGGGCCGAGGGGTGCGTTCTGTGTGGAAAACACTTCTTTCACCCGTTTTCGGCGCGAGAGTTATGGCGCGGGGAGACGGCGCATTTAAAATGCTGCTACATTCGGCATGTCACGGCCGGCGCGACGCGGCGACGGTCGAAGCAGAGCCAGCAGCAGCAGCAGCCAGCCAGCCTAGGCGCGGCGAAGGAGATCGTCGGGCCGACTAGAAGATAAAACACGGCGTAAAATATGAATACGATGTCCCCCAACGCCGCGCCTCGCCGCGCCACGGCCTGCCTGCTTGTGTTTTATCTTTTTTTCGTGTGTCGGGATGAAGAGGCAGCGAGGCAGCGGGGGTGGAAGCGAAAAAATCAGCGGCAGCGAGGGAAGGACGCATGCGCATGGCACTTGCTCGCTTTTCTTTGAGAGCTTCGCGCGTCTTTGTGGCTCTGGCATGTGAGCTGGCGTCAGTGTGTGCGTGCGTGTGCACATGTGTGTGTGCGCGCTCGCATTACCCGCTTTGCGTTTGTAACGTATGTTCAGGCAGGTAGGCATGCCTGAGGCTGGCTTGGCCAGGCTTGGCCCGCCCGCTCCTCCAAATTGGGCCGTGTACACTGCAAGTTGGCGTGGCGTCCAGGCTGTCATTACGAGCTGCGCGGTGCCGATCGGCGTTCTCATCGCTCTGTCTCTCTCGCGCCTGAACGGGACGTCCCGTGAGCACGAGAGAGACGGAGCGACGAGAGCGTTGTTTTCGGTATCGGTTTTCGGTGCAGGTAAACACCCCTCTTTCTGGCAGAAGACGACTTTCCAATTTCCTCTTTTTTCTGTTTTTTCTTCTTTTTTTTCTTTGGGCTGTTTGCCTCACTTTTGGCGAGGCTCAGGGCTCGATGAGGTAGTCACAGAAAATAAAGACAGCGAGGAATACACAACCCTTTGGGCGAGGATGGAGCTGCCAGGCCTGGCCAGCCCGACCAGGCTGGAGGGCAAAAGCAGCTTTGGCAGGGCCCTAGCGGCGCGGCACGGCGCGGCGCGGCGGGGCGGGGGTGTCGCGAGGCGGAAAAGGCTATTTCTTTTCCTCTCCTCGACTCTGCTTTCCCGGCCTGGCGACGTGTAATGCCGTTCCACCAAAAGCAAACCCTTCTTGGAGCGCCTGCCTCGCCGTCCTCGCCGTCCTCGCCGTCCTCACCGTCCTCGCCGTCCTCGCCGTCCTCGCCGTCCTCGCCGTCCTCGCCGTCCTCGCCGTCCTCGCCGTCCTCGCCGTCCTCGCTGCCTGCAAATAAATCCCGAGACAAGAAGCGACGGCCGCGGAGTGGCCATACCCGCGGCCCCGCGGCCATTCAGGGACAATTAATGTCGCTGGCCGGTCCGCGGTCCGCCGGTGCGCGGCGTGGCGTGTCCCTCCTCCAGGACCCTGGACACGCAGGACAGCAGTGGGCAGCGGGCGGCCCCCCCACCGTCCTCCGTCCGAGAACAGAACACAGATACGAGCGATGTCTCGTCATCTCGTCATCGATACAACTCATTGATGTCTATAAAAAGAGCTGTCGCTCCGGCCGCGAGTTAGGCGAACAAAGAAGACGAATGACCAATGAATGACACCGAGGAGCAAGGGCAGGCCAGGCGGGCCGTGAACGCTCAAGCGGGGGCCGTTTTGACACCCGGCTAAAATTGGGATAGGGTCTGGTCTGGTCCGTGCGCTGGGGACGCTCCCCTTGCTTGAGCTCGAAGGAGACCCGACACACGCACTGGTGCGAGCATGACGCCCTGCTCCTACATACACTCGTTAGATACTCTCTCTCTCTCTCTCTCTCTCTCTCTCTCTCTCTCTCTCTCTCTCTCTCTCTCTCTCTCTCTCTCTCTCACTCACTAGGAGTGAACGGACCCCTCGGCCCTGCGACCGGAGGCGCCCCGGCGTCCTGGAGATTAGTCATGAGGCACACCCCGAGGACGAGGACGGCCTCGGTGCTCTTGGTGCGCGCGGCGACCGGAGCGCGGCCGCGCGTGTCGACGGCTCGGCGGCTCGGTGGCACAGCGGGCAGGGTGGAGGGCCTGCACGGCCTGCACTGCAGCCTGAAGGCGGGGGTGGCCGCCAACGCCGCCAAGAGGAGCGCGAGGGGGTCCCACGCCTAGGCTGTGCCGAGCGGCTGTGCCGAGGCCCGCGCGCACAATGGTTTGGCGTGTGCGGAAACGGCAAGCGACGCTGCATCACTTTTTGCACGGCCCGCGCTCCCCTTGCCGAGCACACAGTGCGCCACACAGTGTGCCACACACACGCCGCCCCCTCTCCTTGATCCTTCCCGAACCAATCATCCCCCCCCTCCTCATTCGGGGGTTGCTATTGCAACCACGCTTTTCTTTCGCCGCGCTACCGCCACACCGCCACCAGAGGCTTGAGCCGCCCGCCGCCCGCGTTGCACCGTGCCGCGAGCCGCGAGCGCGCGCGTGTGTGAGCGAGAGAGAGAGAGAGCTTGTGTGTGCGCCGCGGCGCTTGTATGAGAGAGAGGGAGAGCATGTGTGTTGCCGGTGTGTCGCGGCCGGTTTGCCTGCCCGCCAGCTCGGCCGGACCGCCTTTCCTTGCCTGCACAAATTATCCCCCCCTCCCTTGCCTCCCCGCCGCAACCACTCATTCATTTATCCCTCCCCGCCCCCCGGCCCCTCCATCGTCCTCACCCCGCGGTGTGCGGCGTTGCTGCTGCCCCGTGCTGCCCGGTGAACACGGTCAGTGTTGCCATGCCATCAAAGGGTTCCCTTCTTTCCCCGTTTTTATTTTTTCAATTTAGTAATTAGGGCATTTCAACCCCTTGAAAAATGGCCGGCAAAAGTGGTGGCGGGGCGCTACACACGGGATGTGGCTCGGCGTCGTCCAGCCGCGCACTGTCTCTGTCATTGGCCCCTGCTCGCCTCTGCTCGGCTTTTTATCGTAGCGGACCGACTGAGCGGCTAGCCTAGAATGTAATTGCATTGTCTAGTGTGTGCCGTGGCTGGCCGAGCTGGCCGCTCTGCCCTGCCTGGGCTGCCTGGCCTGCCTGGCTAGCAACGGGGAACGGGGCAGTGCCCGCGAGCCCCGAGGCACTAAGGCCCCACTCTCTGACAGTGTATGTGTGCGAGGGAGAGGGAGAAACATTTTCGTTCCTGGAAAGTAGTGGTGTCCAGTCTTTGCGAGCGAGCCCGCTTGCTCGTGTGCGTGTGGGGCTGTGTGTGCACACTGCACACCGTACAAGCCCTTGTGTCAATGTTGAAAGGGTTCAATTCCCACTTTTTAAAGGATGTTTAATTGTTGTGTTAGCACCTGTTGGAGGTGTCGACCTGAGCCCAGGCAACATCGTGGTTCTTGCGTGGTAAAGCCATACTTTTTCTTCTCATTTTGGATAGGGCAGGGTGTTTGTAGGATCAATGAGACCAGAAAATTTCATTGTTTAGAAATATGGTTTTATTCATTTTTTCTTTTTTAATTTCTTTTCTCATACTTTCCACTTAAATCAAAGTGAGAGAGTCTTTCATTTCATATTTGATCTTATTATTCAATTTATATAATAATAAACTCATTATGTACACAGTTATAGACTTTCTTCATAATAAAATAAAAAAAGATGTGAAAAAAGTTATTTGAAGTTGGAACTAAATGACTAAGCATACTGGATGAAACAGGAGAAAATTATGGATACAAATAATACATCATGAATTTTTCCTTCTAATGCAGCAGATTAAATAGACACAGACAATTGATATTTTTTAAATGGCCCACAATCACAGGGTTAAAAGTAACAGCTGTGCTGACCAGAAAACTAACATAAAGCTTATTTCAGGATCTTAATACACAGAGTTCTTTTCTTTTTGTCACCTCACTCCTGAGGTATAATAAACATTGCTCTGGACCACAGATACTAACTATAAACTATCACATCAATCCTTATTAAAATCTTGCAAACACATTGCTACAAAACTCATCCTTTTTGTATGTTCATTAAATATCACGAATGCACATATCGGGATCTAAAATTAAGCGTTCTACAATCATGAAATTTACAAACTGTCTCCTTGAGATACAGTACATATTGATTGGTGTAAAGAGTTAAAATTGGACATGCTAAAATCAATGTCAAAGTTTCAAAATTATATCATACTGACAGCAATTCTTGTACAAGTATATAGACCTTCCTCAACCCAAATTAGATTTCTTTTTCCAGTCTATTAATCTACTAGCTTTTACACAAAAGTTAATGAATGAATGAATGAATGATGAATGTGAATAATTTAACCATTTTCTCCTCGCCTATCATTAAATATTGAATGAGATCATGGCATATCAACCATTAATTAAAACATCCTTCTTTGGTGTGTGGATGCATCAGCCTGCCGAGCTCGGCCACTAACGAATTCAAACCCATCCCCGACCGTCCCCGACTGCCAAACCCAAAGCAAATTCAACAGAAGCATACTCCAAACAGTCATCCACTCAAGTAAAAACAAGGCGCCTCCCTGCGATTCAAGAGGTGTAACCTAGGTTAAAAATTAGAAGCTGCAACATTATTTGATAAAAAATAAAGCCATGGACACAGCTCACAAAAACATAATTACTCTTGTATCTCATCTACAAATATGCAACATGTTTCTTATATTTTCCCTCCGTCAATCTAAAAAATAAATTCAATGACTAAAATACAACAATCACAAAATCAAGGGATGGCAGTAGTTCATGATGTCATCAAACCGTCTGTATCCACTATCCAATCACAGAGTCCAGGTCTGATTCCTCCCCTCCCCTCCCCTCCCGCACCCTCCCCTCCCTTGCTGGGAAACACCCTTGTCTCCTTGTACTTGCTTCCAAAAAAATCATTTTCCAAATTTGTTCTTTGATCAAGGAGACAATATCACATTAAAACTTAAGAGACACAGTAAGTGATAAATTCCAGCATGTTTTAACCCTTAGCACTGGTTATTTACAGAGAGGCCTGAAAGCTCAATACAGGATATGGTGTTTCGACTCATGATTGCATCCCTTTAAACACATGATGACTTTTCAGCAGTTTTCAATATGAAAAATTAAGAAAATGAAAGAAGCAATGCTAACACAAGATGGCAAACAATCAGCATTGCCCAATAAAGTGTTAAATATAACTTAAAAATTAAGAGAATATAATGTCTTCTTTCATCTTTGCTGATAGCTCACCCTCCAAGTAATTGAGAATGATTTCATCACATCACATAGTCCAAACAAAACAGAAGATGGATCAACTTCTTGAGAACCACACATAACTTAACATGGGCCGGTGGGAGAGGGCATGTTCAGTCTTTCTCTCCTGGAGTGCGCAGACATCTCTTCACTCACTCCAGGTAGCTCCTGTACAGCTTCTTTTTTTCTAAGGTGAACCCGGGACTCAACATGATCGTCCGACCTCTGGTGAGGTTCCTGAATGGGCAAAGAGATAAAAATAGTTAGAAACCGTACCACGACAGTGGGGCTAAAACACAAAAGAAACACATGGAAAAGAGTTACTTACTTCAGGAATTGAGGCAGAATACTGTGCCATGACGAACTGTCCTGCTTCAGAGTTAAGAACAGCTCAAATGTGGACACTGTGTTAGGGTCACATTTGACCTGTCCGAGCCTCCGGCAAACTTGCTCAGTTTCAAAATTAATAAAAAGGGTGCACCCTCTGTAACAAAGAGAAAAAAACACATGAGTTCAACTGTACCGTGCGTGGCTTACTTCAATTTTTTTTTAAACCAATTTTTACTTTTAAGTTATTTTTTTAAGTTGTACACACCTAAGACCACAAGGCTCGTTTTCAGCCATCCTGACCACGTCTCGGGCGACCCTGGGCAGGAGATCTGCTGGAAGGAGGACCTCCCCGCAGGCGAGCTGGGCCGACTTGGCTGCCCTCAGCTCGTCCTCCAGCCGTCTGGCCAGGGCGGCCACCGCGGCTACGTCGTCGGCTTCATCCGCCGTCTGGTATCCGCCTGCAACACAAAAAGGAGGGGCCGGTCAGTCACCAAGTCGGCACAAGTGGCACAGAAGTCGGTCCAGGACGCGGAAGCGAGGCCGGAGCCCAAGGCAGCCCAAGGCAGGCACCGCAGCGCCGCACCGCTCCACAGCGCCGGGGGGGCCGGCGGCGGGCCGGCCGGTGCGCTGCAGCTGAGCGCTCGGGCCGGCAGGTTCAGGCCTGCACGGGTTCCAAATCGCACAGCGACACGAACCGACTAAAAAAGCCGGGCCGGAAAAACGCTACCCGTCTACTCGCACTGTCACTTGCCAGGATATTTCATCACCCCCATTCAAATTGGCGTTAAGCCACGGACGGCAAAATTAGAAAACTCGACGCCCCGTTCAAAGTTCTCTAAGGCAGCGCCGGGAATCGAGAGGGAAGTCCTAAGCTCAATCACTTCACTTCTCGACAGAAAACCGGTGCCCTGGTGCCAAGAACTAGTGAATGGCAACATTTCAGTCAAACTTTAAAAAAGAAATCTGAACACAGGCACAAAAACAAGCAATCGCAAAGAAAAATTAATCAGACCCGAGTTTGCCAAGAGTAACACAGTTGCTACAGTCCTTCTGAAAAATGCTGATGAAACAAAGGGCCTAACCAAATAAGCACTACAAGACAAGACACCAAGTCAAAATTCTGCTGTTTCATCTCAAATTCAATAAAATCCATAGGAACGCCGTGTTTTACTGAGAGACGGCATGAGAACTGTCAGGAGGCCCCAGAGAAATATGGAAATGATAAAAATGGCTTTCCTAAGGACGAAGGACAAAGGACGAGACAAGTTCAGACAAGTCCAGACAAGTCCGTGACACAAAATTCTTAAAACGCCTCAAAATCGCGAAGGAAAACGAGTCGCAAGCCAAAAAAGGCCAGTCTCCGCATTTCTATAATTTTTCGATAAAAATATTTACTTTGAGAATTTTTTCGAGACGATACGAAAAATATTTCCAAGTCCGATCTCTCGAAATTTCGAGAAACTCACCGTCATAATGCAGATTTGTGTTAATTTTAACAGGGCAAGGCAAAACCTCCATGGTTCTATCCAAGGTTTTCTCCTCACAACCGGAGAAGAGTCACACACGAAAAATTTTCAACTCGGAACTAACAAAGAACAAAGACCACGGAACAGCTCGCCGCAGCGGAGCGATAAGGTCCCACGTCCACACAGCCCGAACTCCCGGCACCAACTGTCAGACCAGGCAACAGGGCAGGAGGGAACCGGCAGTGCTCTGGCCCAGCTGAGAGCCTCCCCGCCCCTCCCCCTCCACCTCGTCCTTCCCCCTCCCTCCCACCGCACACAGCCGAGCGCGCCCGAGCAGCGCCGAGCGCAGAGCCGAACGCGCCCGAATGGGTGTCTACGTGACGACCGGCTCGCTCCCCACCGCCCAGTCTCCCCGCTCCCCTCTCCTTCATCCTTACTTCTTTGTGCTCCCCGCTTCATTCTCTCGCGTTCCCTCTCCTCCCTCCTTCTCCCCTCTCCTTCATCCTTACTTCTTTGTGCTCTCGCTTCATTCTCTCGCGTTCCCACTCCTCCTACTCCTTCTCCCCTCTCTGCCTCCCGTTCTCTCATTCTCCCACCTTCTCCCCTTCCCTGCCCTGATCACTCAGGAGAGCCCTGGAGCCCCTGGCAGGCTGCCTGCCCTGCATTCCTCCATTCTCGCCTCCTTCGTCGCGCTCCCTCTCTCCCTCTCGCCCCGTTCCTTTTCCTCTCTCCGCGGGTGTGCAGCCGGGTCGGGTAGGGTAGGGGCAGTCGGGGGATGGAAGGCTGCCCGGTTTTCAACCCCAACTTTTATGGGCCTAATGCATGGCGCAAAGATGAGCTCGGGGTCGCGATTTCTAGCGCGACTTCTAGGGCCGCCTGACATAAAACAAAAGTGGTACAGCAGCATAAAAAGGACGCCAAGCCAGAAAGGGTCTCCAGTTGGAACCGAACCTTCTGGAGGGAGGGTGGATAGTGGATGGCATCCACGGATGCGAATGACTGATGGTTGACTCGACACGAACCGACTCTCAGGGCAGAAGCTGGGGGAGGGAGGGGAGGAGGGGACGCCGGGGTCGGGTTGTGTAGGGTCGTGTCCTGGGCGTGGCACGGCGTGGCACGGCGTGGTAGGTTGGGATGGCCAGGGTTGCGCTGGGTCGGGCACCGTTTTTTAGTTGCTAGACCAGAATGCGTTTCCACAACGGCAAGATCGACCGGAGTGGCGAATCCATGTGGCAGTCCCATGGGTTCGCTGGGCTCCCCCATGGTCTCCCCCATGAGTTCCCCTGAGGATCCACCAACCGAGTCCGTGACCCAGGCCGAGGGCTCGAAATTCCACGGGCGAGGGCCACTTCCCCGAAGGTTGTAAGCACACAGCAGTGCAGTGAAAAGCACGGCTTACTTTAGTGTTTCTTGAAACCGCGTCGAACTTGCCGTGCATGGCCAGGACTTGGAAAGTTATTTTTTTAGATTCGGCTAGAGATACACCAACCGGCACAGGCAAGCAACCACAAGCCGCAGGCCCCGGCAGGTCCCGGCGGGGCGCGGCAGGCCCAATCCAAACCCACTAATCCATCCGACGCACCCACACCACCACACCCACTACCATTCATACCCGGCATAATGTGCCGCGGTACGTACTGACAGTGTACGGCCAGACGTGTCGCGACTGGCGGAGACGGTGCTGGAAGGTTCTGACAGGTTCTCCCAGGTTGGACAGCGACTGTCCGGTCCGACCGGCGGGGCAGGCCATGTGGCAGGCCATGTGGCGGGGCGGCGCGGGGCGGGCAAGGCACTGCCGGCACTGCCACGGCACTGCCTCCCAGGCATGGGACATCGGAACACTACGTGCAAAAACTTGGCCCACTTGACGGGGAAGGGGCAAGGGGGCAGTCACGTCTGGAAATGACTGCCGTCTCATCGGCCGGACTGCCGTAAGTAAGATTGCCACCCCTTCCCTCGTAAAGAAACTCGTCTTTTACAGAGTTTACGTAACAAACTTCCGAGCGCGCTGCGCGCACACCAGTTCCCTCCCCCTCACCGTGGAGAACACACCCTCTTTTTTCGGACCACAAGTCTGGACCGGGCGGTGCCGTGTGGGAGAAACTAAAGAAGATGCCAAAGACAATACACGCGCTGGGCTGTGCTACAGTGCTGTGCTGCTGAGTCTGTCGGAAACGTGCGGACGACAGCACCGCCAGCAGCACTGCCAGCTAGCGCGGCTAGCGCAGCCGTACAGCTCAGAGCTCAGCCTTCCGCGGTTAGCTCATTCTCATTTTGGCCGATTCACTTCCACCCCGTCCCCGCAGCGCCCCGCCGTCCCCCAGCCCCGCCAGGGCCCCGCCCGTCGCCGCGCCGTGCCTCACGCTCACCTCACGGCCTTGCCCGGCCTGCCTGCCCGCCTGCCCGGCCTAGCGTTGAGCCCCGGCGTAACCAAGCAGAGCCTATGGCAAGCCCGGTCGTTTTATCAAACAACGGCTAGTCTCAGGTAAAGTCCGGCGGTGCGGTGCGATACGAGCCGAGCGCCGAGCCGGGACGGCTGAGCCGAGCCGGAGCAGCGCGGAGCACCGGGCCGCTTCCTCAAGGTCGAGTGAATCACCGGTACCAGAGGCCGGTACCTTAGCCTGGGCACTGATAAAAACTATGCCACGGGTAGTTGCGCGTTGCGCCGGCCGGGTGCCTGAAGGGTACCCGTCACTGGACACCACAGCCGGCCACGTCACTCGGAACCGCGGAGCAAGGAGCAAACGCAGCCCGGAGGGAACAACGACACGGAGGGGGCGATCGACCTGTAAACAACTCGAACACCCACAGCACACGCGCTGTTTGGCGGCCAGTGGACACCTCGTTCTGATTTGAATAAAACACCCGCCGCACCGGCACAGTGTCCCCTAAAGCCGCTAGACCCGCCGAGCCAATGAGTACTTAGAGCGGGGCTCGCCGGCTGACTCACCGCGTCTACTACACTCTAAACTAGAAAGTTAGATGAGCGGTCCGCAACTTGGCCATGGAAATGACATCCAAACGCGCTATGCAAATACACGGGGCTCGGCCAGCGGCTCGGCCCGGGCCCTGGGCCGCCCTGGGCCCCTCGCTTGCCGGTCACATCCTGTGCCACCCCGAGAGGGGTGGAAGGGGGTTGGAGGGGGCGAGGCGTAGGCCGGGGCACAGCGAGCTCACACAGCATCTCCACTCTCCGTGTTTTTTTAGCAGAGTACAACTCTGTTGCGTTGCCACACTGGAGGCTGGACACGCTTGCTTGCAAACCGGCAACGCTGCGAGGCAAGGCGCTCGGTCTGTTCGTCTGTCTGTCCGTCCGTCTGTCCGCGGGCCCGTTCGCCCGCCCGCCCGGCCGACTATCCGTCTATGTCTCTAGGTCTGCCTCTGCCTTTGGTCTGCTAGTCTGCCCATGCAAATCGCAACGCCCAAATGCAGCAAAGGTGCTCGGCTACACTGTGCAGCGGTGCAGCGGAGTACCTATACCTTCCTGCCCAGCTGCAGGCCGAGCAGGCCGTGCAGGCAGGCATCCGAAGCCTCCGAAAACGAGAAATACCCAACCGGCCGTAATAACTCAGTACCAAGCAGCCCTTGATTGCGAGGAAATGGATCGGCCGTCGGCCATCCTATAACTTTTATACCTGGGCCGAGGCCTGGCCGGCCTGGTGGGCTGGTGGGCGTAGGCCAATGAATAATGTGCATATTTAGGCGTGAAAACGAGACCGACCCCACCAAAAAACAATTATCTGCCCATCTGTCGTTAGAGAGGAACCAAGTCGTGTGCTGCCTACATGCCGTCACCTGCAGTGTCTCTGCCTGCACAGCTCAGCTTGCCTCCGTGCACACCGCTGATCTGTCGCTGGGCGTCGCGGCGTCGCGGGGCCCCGCTGGCGGGGCTGGCGGGGGCGTGGCGCGGGGCGCGGGTTCCGCTGCTGCCCGCGGCGGCAGCACCGGCCAAGCTTGAGTGGCGTGTACTGTACCTCTGCATGCACTTGCAC